GTCTACTTGTATAGTTTACCCTTTATTTTAAATAAGGAATCTTTAAATTTTTAACTAATTTATAATTATCATTGAGTCCTTGAGAATTTAAATTTTTATAAATTAAATTAACATGACCTTTTGCGGCGTTTTGTGTTCACAAACGCCGCTAACTTTTGTGGTACTGTTTTGACCAGGGCTTCTTGCGGCGTTTTTACTATCGCCAACAAGGAAAGCTTTTAGTGGCGCTTAAAAACGCTTCTATAGGACTAAAAAACGTCACTAAAAGTTTATTTTGTTGTAGTGATGACAAGAACTATAATAATCTTTTTAGAAATATATTTTCTTATTTTTTTTAATAATTTGTGTGATTATAAAATAATATTTATTCATAATTTTATAGTATAGTAATAACGTACACACATCATGTTAACACAATTACTCAAATATAAATTCTAAAAAAAATATATAATAGTTTATTTTATATTCGATAAATTTAGAAATAATTTCCAAATATAAGTTCCATGATCAAAAGGATTGACTTTGATCAATTGGTGATGTGATGAGGAATGATCGTTCCATGGCTCCGGGGGCCACTGCCCCTCCCCTAATTTTTTTTTACTATTAAAAAAATAGAGATAGTTACCAATGTAGATATTTAAATTTTGATTTATTTTGATTTTGTCCCTATTTTCTATTATTAGTTATACTTTGTCCCTGAATTAAAATCTTGACTCGGTCCTGAATGAAATCCAGTTATTTCTGTGCTATCTTTTTGTTTTAGCCCTTGAGTTTCCTAAATAATCTTCCACTGTCATCTTCATGGATTAGATATTATTTCCCAGATTTTCTCTCTATATACTAATTCAATTCTTTCACCTTTTCTAACCAAAAGTTCTCTCCTTTTTCATCATTGTATCTTGGGAACAAAAGGGTATTCTCCATTGGAAGAAAATGGAAGCTGCTGCACCAATCTTTACATCTCCAACTCAACCCTTTTCATCATCCAATCGTTTGAGAGGTACAGTGTTTGTATTCATGGATCGGTCGAGGGGAGTTCAGGATGATCACTACTGAAATTTTTAAATTTTCATATAGTTTAATTATTTTTTATATTTTTTTATTGATGATTTAATTCGGTCCTAAAATTTTATGATTCGTAGATGGCATAAAATTAGGGTTATTTTCACGTCTAAAGTTTTGTGCTTTTCAATGCAGCTAGTAGCTTTATGGGTGCCTCATTGCCCAGTAATTCTCCAAAGTTGAAGAGATCAGTCAAGATTAGTGGGAGAATTAGTGCTGCTGCTACTACTGTTACAAAAGGTCCCATGGAAGATATTAAAGAGTATGGACTCCCAACTTACTTCTATTGATTCCTTTTTCTTACAAAAAGTTGTATGGTGAGATTTGAACCCAAGACCTCGAAGTTCTCGGGATGTCTTGCTTGTCGTTTACGACAAGCCAAGAACTTGTAGGGGTGGAAAATGGAGGAATTCATCATCTCCATGTGTGTAAATGTTACATGTTGAACTTAAATGTGCCTCTCAGGTATACGCGTCCTTTCTATGCGATGTTCGAACTGGGGAAGGCTCCTGTTTATTGGAAGACGATGAACAGTCTTCCTCCGACTTACGTAAGTGCACCATTGCTACTTTTTGATGTCATGTTGCTTGAGCTATACTCTTTAGTCTTTTTTGAATGACAGGGAGAGAAGCTGAAGCTTTTCTACAATCCAGCCTCAAGCGAACTTGCTCCAAATGAAGACTTTGGGATTGATTTTAATGGTAATTTCTCATACTCTTGTCCCTGTGCCTTTACTAATGTGATAAGAAGTACAGTCCATTACTCGGTGACGAAAATAACACAAACCTGTCGAAAACCCAAAATTACTCAAACATGAAATGATTTGAACTCAAAAAAATCAGAGTCCGATATGAGCCTATGACTTGATGAATTTGTAACTCTGCAGGAGGTTTCAATCAGCCTATCATGTGTGGTGGTGAACCGAGAGTCCGAGACAAATGCTGAGGAAAGCTAGAGGCAAAGCTGATAGTCCAATATACACCATACAAATATGTATTCCTAAGCGTGGTATGTATGTTTCATAGATTTCAATTTTCTTTCTTGCGAATTTCCGATTTCTTTTTCCTTTTGATTTCCGATCGATCACTTGTCATCATCTTCTCTAGTTTCATTTCGCAGCTGTGAACTTGATATTCTCATTCACAAAATGGAGTTGATTGGGATGGTCCTTACAGACTACAGTTTCAAGTTCCAAAGGCATGGCAAAACAGACCAACTGAATTCTTTAACCAGGTAAAATATGTTTGTATTTGATGCATATTTCGATATGGACATGAAAATATGATCTTCTAAGCTCTCGAAATGCATGAAAGTTTGGAAAATTTTGAATATACTCGTATTCGATTCGACACGCACACCTTAATCCGAATATCGTGGTAACAGGGGCTAGCAGGGGAGCAGAATAAAGAAGGTGCATGTGACAGCAATATTTCCAGACACAAGTATTGTTGTGGATAGATGTGTGATGATTGGTAACTTGTCCAAGGAAGGAGTAAGTAAAAAAGAAACCTGTGTTATTTCATCTGTTTTCTTCCTCATAAGGTGAAGCATCGAGTTCATATATGAAAATTCGTAAATCCTTGACTCCATTTGCAGGGCGATCGTTGCAGTCTTGAATCTTGATCTGGTTATGGGGTGCATGGACATGAACTCGCACCTGTACAACCCTCTGGCCAATGTAGACGACGGCTCGTGTCCTATTGATTCCAATGCTGAGGACTAGTTGTTAGCCAGTTGCATCTCTTATGCATCTTAAATTACTCCTTGTAGTTCTCAAGATTAAAATGAAATGTTAGTTGTATAGGATGTAGATAATGGAGTCATCAACAGTGTTACAAAACAATAGAGGATTGGACCGATCAATTGAACCGAAAATCAATTGTTTATCCGGTTTGACATGTCCAACCAAGAATCTTTGATTCGGTTAAGAACAGAAAAAAAATCGAAATCTCTCATCAAGTATCTAGTAGTACTACAACCCAAGACTCGAACTAAAATCATATCAATAGATGGAGTACTCTAGTTTAATAACATTCACCAATATCATCAAACACAAGTGCACAGAAGCTGATTATAAAAGCAGTATCTTTTTCTTCAAAATTCGAAGATCTAAGAACATGTTCATTGACAATACTATTACTAGTTCCTCCCTATTGACTACGCTTACTTCATTGGTACCTCACGTAAGAGCAGCTTTTTTCCTGCTCTCTATATACTTGCCCGCGAGCGAATCGAATAAAATCCCGGCACCGACGCCAACCGCCAAATCGATCGTGTAGTGACCCCTTGTACCGAGCAATCTCATGGATTGAAGCACATTGAGTGTGTCGAATAACCATGCCAATTCCCATCTCTGCATTCTCCTCATGTCCAACGATGCAATCACCGATCCAGCAACGTGGCCGGAGAAGAAGAGGAAAAATGAGACATTCCCTACAGGAAAATCCATCCGACCCTACAAATTCCTGCCATTCATCAAAGCTTCAAACGTTAGCGCTTATATCAAAACCATATGTATGTATACCAATGTTTCAGATCAGAATATTTCAAACCATGAAAATTTAACACAAGCAGCTGACCAATCAGATAGTCTCGTTTTCCCAACCGGATAGCATTATGCAGACGGTCTGGTATTGTGCTCTTCGGAATTAGCCACCCAAGGTTGGAACCCGAAACCAAACCTAGGGTAGCAAAGCTTTAAGGCACTAGTAGGTGCTCAAACAAGACAATACCGAATCGCGAGCACGTTGCTATGCGATGCTACGGGGAGAATGAAAATATTCAGTCAACTGGCGGGTCGTGACAGAAATAGATTAAGAGTTAACCTGAGGTAATGGGAGCTGCGTGGAGTAACCAAGGATCCCACGACAAGTGAACATGAACAAAGCAGAAATCGTCGCCCTTGGTCGACCCTCAACTAACCAGGTCCCTATTATATACACTGATTGCATCCCAACAAACACCTATCAAACATATAAGCAGAGTTCATCAGACCATTAATCTAGCAAAAATTAACGCCCTTACCTCTTCAGATTATCACATTTCTACTTCATGTTAATTTTTATAGAAAACTTTAGATATTTTTAGCATGCAATTACATCAGACTAACCTAGTGGGCACGCCTGATCCAGAGGGTATGTCTGCTGTTGCTATTGATTTTTTCACTAACCTAGTGGGCACGCTTGATCCAGAGGTCCGTGGGGTTAGTGTAATTTTTTTGTAAGGATTTGCTCCAGTGTGTGTTGCCTGCTGGTGATTCTGAGTCTCTTTGTCGGGAGGTTTTGCTTCTGAAATAAAAGAAGCTATTTTCAGTCGGAGAAGTGACAAGGCTCCTGGACCTGATTGGTATACTTCTTTATTTTTCAAAGTTGCCTGGCCTGTTGTGGGAGAGGATTTTGTTTCTGTTATTCGGTTTTTCTTCTCTTTCACGTGTATGTTGCCTTCTTTTAATGCCACTGCACTGATCCTTGTTCCTAAGGTCTCTAATCCGTGTTTGCCCAAGGATTTTAGACCTATTTCTTGCTGCTCTTTCGTGTATAAGACTGTTACTAGGATTTTGGTTGGCAGACTTGACCCTTTGTTTCCTAATATGATTGTTTTTAATCAAACTACTTTTGTGAAAGGTATATTCTCGTAAGTCGCTTTCGCCTAGATGTGCTCTGAAGGTTGACCTTCATAAGGCTTTTGACACGTTGAGTTGGGATTTTATTTTGACTGTGCTTGAGGCTTTGGGTATGCTTGATCAGTTTAGGGGATGGGTTGCAGTTTGTTTGACCACTCCTAGGTTCTCGATTGTTCTAAATGGCAGTCTTGTTGGGTTTTTTAAGGGTGGTAGGAGCATCAGGTAGGGATTAAGTGTGTGTTGGAGAAATTTTATTTGTCGCCTAGATTTCTTTCTTGTGTTCAATTTTACTTGCTTTCTTTTAGTCAATCATCAACTTCCAGATCCTCTGAGCAGGAAATCTAGTTTGATTTTGAAGTCCCCAAGTATTTACCAGAATCATGGGAAATTGCTTCTCCATACAATTTAGTTTCGAGAATATCCTCATCCGAGGTTGGGATTCCACTGTCGGACAGGCTAATTACGTGTGCAAGCTTAAAGAAAATCTTCCTACCTTATCTGCTGCTCTTAATGAACTGAAGGTACGAAGGGATGACGTGCAATGGAAAGTTGATCTGGAAGAACAACGGCTACTGAAGCGACTCCATGAAGTTGATCTATGGCTTTCACAGGCGGCAACCATGATAACAGAGGCGGGAAATTTGATTGAAGATGGCCCTCAACAAATAAATAACTTGTGTCTCGGCGGCTGCGTTTCCAAGAATTGCCTGTCTGCCCACAAGTTTGGGAAAGAGGTGGGCAAAATGCTTGAAGATATAAAGGATCACACTAGTAAAGGAGTTTTTGACAAGGTAGCAGAGACTCAGCCCCAACCTTCAGTGGTAGTTAGACCTGAGGAGCGACCAGTTGCTCTTGAATCCACATTCGACAAGGTATGGAGCTGCATCATGGACAAAGGTGTAGGAATCGTTGGCCTCTACGGCATAGGAGGCGTTGGAAAGACAACACTCTTGACCCAAATCAACAACAAGTTCGGCACAACACCTAATGATTTTGATGTCGTAATTTGGGCGTTGGTGTCTAAAGATTACAATGTTTAAAAGATTCAAGATGAGATTGGTGCAAACATTGGTTTTTCCAACGAGTCCTGGAAGAATAAAAGGGTTGATCAGAAAGCTGTAGATATCAACGGGGTCTTGCGCAACAAGAGATTTGTTGTGTTACTGGATGATTTATGGAAGAGGGTAGACTTGAACAAAGTTGGGATTCCAGAACCAAGCCAAGAAAACGGTTCTAAACTTATCTTCACTACTCGATCTTTGGAGGTTTGTGGTGAAATGGAAGCTCGAAAGAAAATTAAAGTGGAGTGTCTGAAACTGGAAGAGGCTTGGAAATTATTCCAAGAAAAGGTTGGGGATGAAACTCTCCACAGCCATCCAGATATTCCAAAATTAGCTAAACAAGTAGCCGAAGAGTGTTGTGGGTTGCCTCTTGCACTGGTTACGATCGGTCGTGCCATGGCTTGCAAGACGACACCTGGGGAATGGAATTATGCAATCCAGAAGTTAAAGCAATCCACCTTACCCAAGATGGAAAATGAGGTATATCCGCTTTTGAAATTCAGTTACGATAATTTGCCTCCCATAATGAAATGGTTTCTGCTATACTGTTGTCTGTATCCTGAAGATTATAATATTCCCAAAAGTAGATTAGTGGAGTATTGGTTTTGTGAAGGGTTGTTGAATGAATTTGATAGAATTAGTGAAGCTCAAATGCAAGGAGACCACATTATCAACTCTCTTCTTAGTGCATGTTTATTGGAAAGAGCAGAAGAATCATTTGATGGGGAAGAGCAAGTGAAGATGCATGATGTGATCCGAGACATGTGTTTGTGGATAACATGCGAGCTTGAAGAGAAAGAGCAGAGTTTCTTTGTAAAAGCAGGGGCTCAATTACTAGAGGAGCCAGATGTTAAGGCATGGGAAGGTGCAAAAAGGATGTCGGTGATGAAAAATAAGATTAAAGTTCTGAGAGGAACCCCTAAATGCCCTAGCCTTCGAACTTTGTTTCTTAGCCAAAATAAGCTGCAGGTGATCAATGATGGCTTCTTTCAGTTTATGCCTCAACTAACTGTTTTGGATTTGTCGTGGAACATAGATTTAAAATCACTACCAAAGGGAATTTCAGAATTGATTTCTCTAGAATGTCTTGATATATCCCGGACCGGTATAAGAGAGTTGCCAATGGAGTTGAAATCTTTGTCAAAACTGAAAATGTTGGACTTGAGTAACATGCAGCATCTCAGAAGAATCCCACAGAATTTGATATCTAGTTTTTCCAAGTTGCAAATATTCAGGTTGGGGAATCTGCCACGTGGAGTTTATCCCGGGGAAGACAATGTTCTGGATGGGGGTGATAATGAAAAGCTCATAGAGGAATTGAAAAATCTGCAACATCTGAATAGACTAAGGATAATAATAAAAAGAATGTCTGCTCTACAAAGTTTTCTGAGCCTCCACTTGTTTCGATGCAGCACCGAAGCACTAGAGTTGGAGTATTTTCAGGAGAAAAATGTGTTTAATGTTTTATGTTTAGAAAACATGGAGCGTCTGGAGATATTACGTATCGGTTGCTGTGAAAACATGGAGATGAAAATGGAAAAACTGCATACAAGGGGTTCTCCGAGTACTAATTACACTTCAGGCTTCCACACATTGACGTTACCTGGCTGTTTCTTGCTCCAAATCTAAGGTATCTTGGGATAACTGGGTGTGCAAAAATGGAAGAAATACTGAGCGAGGGAAGACTCGGAGATGTTGCAGATGTGGTGGGAATTCCATACCCTACACCATTTCTGAACCTTCATACACTTAATTTATTAGATGTACCAGAATTGAAGAGCATATACTGGGATGCCCTACCCTTCCCATGTCTGAAACGTATTCAAATAGAGGACTGTCCAAAACTGAAGAAGCTTCCTCTCAACTCTGACAGTGCAAAAGGGAATCACATCACCATTAGGGGATACCCATACTGGTGGGAACAGCTAGAATGGGAGAATGAAGCCACTCGAAATGCTTTTATGCCATCTTTTCAAGAGCCTTTTGACGGAAGAAATCAATTGTGAACCTCATCGTCTCATCCCTATTTTTCCTTGCACTTGTTTATTGAAGTGAAACAATGTCAAATTTTTTAAACAAAAATATTTTTCCTTAAATCGTCTCATCCCTATTTTTAATTAGTGTAAACAATATATATATATATAACTTATGTATTTGAACTTGAAATTTAGTCAAATTATCAATACTATTTTTATTTGACTTAATTAGTTTTTGGATAAATTAAAAATTCATTACCTAAATTATTAGTTTTAGTCTGTTTTAGTACTTAAACTTTTAATTTTTTCAAAATCATACATAATGTTTAGTTTTCATTTCATTTTAATACCACTGATAAATAATTAACACGTTTGGTACCTAAACTATTAGTTGTAGTTTGTTTTAGTACCTAAACTTTCAATTTTTTCAAAATCATACCTAACATTTAGTTTTCATTTTAGTACATTGTCGTTAAAAAATTAACGCATTTAGTACCCAAACTATCAATTGTGATTTGTTTTGGTACCTAACTATCAATTTTTTTCAAAATCATACCTAATGTTCAGTTTTCATTTCATTTTAGTACCCGTCGTTAAAAATTAAATGCGTTTAGTACCTAAATTATCAGTTTTGGTCTGTTTTAGTATCTAAACTTTCATTTTTTTTCAAAACCATATCTAACATTTAGTTTTCATTTCATTTTAGTACATCGTCGTTAAAAAATTAACACAATTAGTACCTAACCTATCAGTTGTGATTTGTTTTGGTACCTAAACTTTCAATTTTTTCAAAATCATACCTAACGTTTAGTTTCATTTCATTTTTTTACTCGTCGTTAAAAACTTAATGGGAGAATGAAGCCACTCGAAATGCTTTTATGCCATCTTTTCAAGCAATTGTTTATTGAAGTGAAACAATGTCAAATTTTTGAAACAAAAATATTTTTCCTTAAATCGTCTCATCCCTATTTTTATTTAGTGTAAACAATATATATATATATATATAACTTATGTATTTGAACTTGAAATTTAGTCAAATTATCAATACTATTTTTATTTGACTTAATTAGTTTTTGGATAAATTAAAAATTCATTACCTAAATTATTAGTTTTAGTCTGTTTTAGTACTTAAACTTTTAAATTTTTCAAAATCATACATAATGTTTAGTTTTGATTTCATTTTAATACCACTGATAAATAATTAACACGTTTGGTACCTAAACTATTAGTTGTAGTTTGTTTTAGTACCTAAACTTTCAATATTTTCAAAATCATACCTAACATTTAGTTTTCATTTTAGTACATTATCGTTAAAAAATTAACGCATTTAGTACCTAAACTATCAATTGTGATTTGTTTTGGTACCTAACTTTCAATTTTTTTCAAAATCATACCTAATGTTTAGTTTTCATTTCATTTTAGTACCCGTCGTTAAAAACTTAATGCGTTTAGTACCTAAACTATCAATTTTGGTCTGTTTTAGTACCTACACTTTTAAGTTTTTCAAAACTATATCTAACGTTTAGTTTTCATTTTATTTTTGTACCCTGCCGTTAAAAAATTAACACGTTTAGTACCTAAACTATCAGTTGTGGTTTGTTTTAGTACCTAAACATTCAATTTATTTCAAAACCATACCTAACGTTTAGTTTTCATTTCATTTTAGTACCCGTCGTTAAAAATTTAATGTGTTTAGTACCTAAACTATCAGTTTTGGTCTATTTTAGTACCTAAACTTTCAATTTTTTCAAAATCATACCTAACGTTTAGTTTTCATTTCATTTTAGTACCCATTAAAAAATTAACGCGTTTAGTACCTAAACTATCAGTTGTGATTTGTTTTGGTACCTAAACTTTCAATTTTTTTCAAAATCATACCTAACGTTTAGTTTTGATTTCATTTTAGTACCCGTCTTTAAAAACTTAATGCATTTAGTACCTAAACTATTAGTTTTGGCCTGTTTTAGTACTTAAACTTTCATTTTTTTCAAAATCATACCTAATGTTTAGTTTTCATTTTATTTTAGAACCCCACCGTTAAAAAATTAATGTGTTTAGTACCTAAACTATCAGTTGTACCCGTCGTTAAAAATTTAATGTGTTTAGTACCTAAACTATCAGTTTTGGTCTATTTTAGTACCTAAACTTTCAATTTTTTCAAAATCATACCTAACTTTTAGTTTTCATTTCATTTTAGTACCCCGTTAAAAAATTAACACGTTTAGTACCTAAACTATCAGTTGTGATTTGTTTTGGTACCTAAACTTTCAATTTTTTTCAAAATCATGCCTAACGTTTAGTTTTGATTTAATTTTAGTACCCGTCTTTAAAAACTTAATGCATTTAGTACCTAAACTATTAGTTTTGGTCTGTTTTAGTACCTAAACTTTCAATTTTTTTCAAAATCATACCTAATGTTTAGTTTTCTTCACCATCACTATTACTTGAATAAGGCTCTTAAGTTTTCATCTATTTGATGGTGTCCCACTTGAATCGCTCTCGTTGCATCTTTTATGCCACTCGAAATGCTTTTATGCCATCTTTTCAAGCACGTTTATTGAAGTGAAACAATGTCAATTTTTTATTTAGGGTAAACAAATATATATATATATATATATAATTTATGTGTTTGAACTTGAAATTTAGTCAAATTATCAATACTATTTTTATTTGACTTGATTAATTTTTGGGTTACTCCGTTTTAGTACTTAAAACTTTTAATTTTTTCAAAACCATATGTAACGTTTAATTTTCATTTCATTTTAATACCAACTGTTAAAAAATTAACACGTTTAGTATCTAAACTATTAGTTGTAGTTTGTTTTAGTACCTAAACTTTCAATTTTTTCAAAATCATATCTAACGTTTAGTTTTCATTTTAGTACTCGTCGTTAAAAATTTAATGTGTTTAGTACCTAAACTACAAACTTTTAATTTTTTCAAAACCATATCTAACATTTAGTTTTCATTTCATTTTAGTACTTTGTCGTTAAAAAATTAACGCATTTAGTGCCTAAATTATCATTTGTGATTTGTCTTGGTACCTAAAATTTCAATTTTTTTCAAAATCATACCTAACGTTTAGTTTCATTTCATTTTAGTAACTGTTGTTAAAAACTTACTGCGTTTAGTACCTAAACTATCAATTTTGGTCTGTTTTAGTACCTAAACTTTTAAGTTTTTCAAAACCATATCTAACGTTTAGTTTTCATTCTATTTTAGTACCATGTCGTTAAAACATTAACGTGTTTAGTACCTAAACTATCAGTTTTGGTCTGTTTTAGTACCTAAACTTCCAATTTTTTCAAAATCATACTTAACGTTTAGTTTTCATTTTAGTACTCGTCGTTAAAAATTTAATGTGTTTAGTACCTAAACTATCAGTTTTGGTCAATTTTAGTATCTAAACTTTCAATTTTTTTCAAAACCATATCTAACATTTAGTTTTCAGTTCATTTTAGTACTTTGTCGTTAAAAATTAACGCATTTAGTACCTAAACTATCAGTTGTGATTTGTTTTGATACCTAAACTTTCATTTTTTTTTTCAAAACCATATCCAACGTTTAGTTTTCATTTCATTTTAGTACCCGTCTTTAAAAATTTAATGCGTTTAGTACCTAAACTATCAGTTTTGGTCTATTTTAGTACCTAAACTTTCATTTTTTTCAAAATCATACCTAACGTTTAGTTTTCATTTCATTTTAGTACCACGCCGTTAAAAATTAACGCGTTTAGTACCTAAACTATCAATTGTGATTTGTTTTGGTACCTAAACATTCATTTTTTTCAAAATCATACCTAACATTTAGTTTTCATTTCATTTTAGTACCCGTCGTTAAAAACTTAATGGGAGACTGAAGCCACTCGAAATGCTTTTATCCCCTCTTTTCAAGCTGATTGACGGAATAAATCAATTGTGAACCTCATCGTGAATGGATCGATCCTTAAAAGAACTTTAAATTCTTTTTATATTTTATATATTAATTTTATATTTGTATCTTTAAAATTTTATAATATCATACCTCTGAATTTTTAATATACTTTCTAAAAATAAAATCCAACGTTACACTTCATACAAGGGGTTCTCCGAGTACTAATTACACTTCAGGCTTCCACACATTGACGTTACCTGGCTGTTTCTTGCTCCAAATCTAAGGTATCTTGGGATAACTGGGTGTGCAAAAATGGAAGAAATACTGAGCGAGGGAAGACTCGGAGATGTTGCAGATGTGGTGGGAATTCCATACCCTACACCATTTCTGAACCTTCATACACTTGGTCTATGTTCACTACCGGAATTGAAGATCATATACTGGGATGCCCTACCCTTCCCATGTCTTAAACGTATTTGTATAAATGATTGCCCAAAACTGAAGAAGCTTCCTCTCAACTCTGATAGCGCGAAAGGGAATCACATCACCATTGAAGGAAGCCAAGATTGGTGGGAACAGCTAGAATGGGAGAATGAAGCCACTCGAAATGCTTTTATGCCATTTTTTCAGCCTGACATACCTCTTCGTTAAAAAATCAACGCATTTAATATTTAAACTATTCGTTGTGATTTGTTTTAGTACCTAAACTTTTAATTTTTTTAAAATCATATTTAACGTTTAGTTTTCATTTCATTTTAGTACTCGTCGTTAAAACCTTAATGCATTTAGTACATAAACTATCAGTTTTTGTTTGTTTTAGTACCTAAACTTTTAATTTTTTCAAAATCATATCTAACGATTAGTTTTCATTTCATTTTAGTATCCCGTCGTTAAAAAATTAATGTCTTTAGTACCTAAACTATCAGTTTTGGTTTGTTTTAGTACCTAAACTTTCAAAAAAAATTCAAAATCATACCTAACGTTTAGTTTTCATTTCATTTTAGTACCCGTCGTTAAAAACTTAATGCGTTTAGTACATAAACTATCAGTTTTTATCTGTTTTAGTACCTAAACTTTTAATTTTTTCAAAATCATACCAAACGTTTAGTTTTCATTTCATTTTAGTATCCCATCGTTAAAAAATTAATGCGTTTAGTACCTAAACTATCAGTTGTGGTTTGTTTTAGTACCTAAACTTTCAATTTATTTTCAAAATCATACCTAACGTTTAGTTTTTATTTTATTTTAGTACCCGTCGTTAAAAACTTAATGTGTTTAGTACCTAAACTATCAGTTTTGGTATGTGTTTAGTACCTAAACTTTTAATTTTTTCAAAATCATACCTAACGTTTAGTTTTCATTTCATTTTAGTACTCCGCCGTTAAAAAATTAACGCTTTTAGTATCTAAACTATCAGTTGTGATTTGTTTTAGTACCTAAACTTTTATTTTTTTTCAAAATCATACCTAACGTTTAGTTTTCATTTCATTTTAGTACCCGTCGTTAAAAATTTAATGCGTTTAGTACCTAAACTATTAGTTTTTGTCTGTTTTAATACCTAAACTTTCAAATTTTTTAAAACGTAACTTTGAATTTTGAACAGAATACTAAAATGAAACAGAAACTAAAGTTTTTAACGATATGATATTAAAATGAAGTAAAAATTAAAGTTTAGATATGATTTTGAAAAAGTTGAAAGTTTAGGTACTAAATGCATAATTTACCTTAAAAAATTATGATGATGATATCTTTATAAAATTTTGGATTGAATTGGTGTCACCAGTTAACCGATTATCAATTAAGTGGAGAAATTATTAAAATCTCTCTTTTAAATGCATATATTGATTCTTCCAAAGTGAATAGGGGATTCAACAAAAACACTTACATGGAAGAATGCATAAAATGCCAACAAAATCATGCTATTTAGTGATAGCTTATTGAAAACATCTGAAATTTTTGCTGCAGATTATGGTATAAGGAGTTCTTATAGAGAAAATAATGGAGCTTAGAGTGTGATCCGAACACGCAATCCGTCGTAGCTCAGCTGTACGTCGAAGTCCTCGGTTTCCATCAAGTTTTTGAGGTCTCTGTTCACTTCTGCTTGGTCCATGAGACGCATCATGCCTTCATAAATCACAAATTGCATAATTAGGCAACTGATAAGAAATGATATTTTCATAGTTACACCCTGCAGACGCTGCAAAATGGAAGAATGATCACATCAAACAAATAAATAACCTATACAAAGTACAAACAAGAGCTGTTTGATTGAGAAGAAAACAGGAAACCGCTCTAACACTAACACTTCCCTCGAAGTTAAGGGATTTGATATTTCCAGTGTTGTTCTTGTTGAATAAGATAGGTAAAATGATTCATGTCATAAACTGCAACTGGTGAGGTACTATCCCGGAATCGTATTGTGTCGGTATCGTAAGGACAAATCGATGTTTCCTTTTTATCACCCGCTTAATCTCGAGGTTTATGGACAACCGAAAAGGATAATAGCGGCTTATGGACATGTAGACATGTAGTAGTACCTCGCTGGTCATTAAGTTGTTAAGCTTTCCGACTCGATTTGGTTTACCGTCTTTAATCGTTAAATTTGTTGATGGAATTTCAGATCATATATTAAATCAGAAGCGGTGTTGAAGATCATGGAATACCTGGAATTGCCTTTCCCTCAGCTTGCATTCTTTATGCAATTCATACCCTTGTAATTCATCCCTTTCGGCTTCTCAATGGTGATCTCTGTCATCATTTCTTTGTTTTCGATTTGCGGCGATTGCAGGCTCGTAAGGGACTTCATGTACGACAACATCGCGAACAACCGGTATGTGATTTACGGGTATTCGGATTCGTGCGAGATATGAAGCAATACAATGAATAGTAAGTCATATATCACACAAAAATGGAGGGCATCATAATAAACCCTGCAAGTCCTGATGTTTCATCTTGTTTCTTGACTAATTATGTTGTAAATTATGAAAGGTCTCACTATGAACACGATACATATATTAAGCATTTATCGTGTTTATTACATTGTTTCATCCTGCTGTATATGAGTCCTGATGTTTAAACATATAATAATCCTATAGCGATCCAGATTTCTAACTCTGCATCGTGAAATCGTGTTGAAATGTACCTAAAACTCGATTTTTCACTTCACATAATCATACATGGAATGGTCTCCGAATGCACCATGCAAGGTATGATTTAAATAGTTTTGCCTGCAAGTAGCCTCTCTAAGCCAACTGCAAATCTGCAAAAAAGAAGCAGAGTAAGCTGAAAGTCAGGTTAGTTCCGGTTTTGAAATCTTCGGCAGATCAAAAAATTTACCCTATAATCACATGAACTAAATTGAAAACGAATAACACATATTGGTACAATCTGTGCTTTGGGACTTTATGTTTTATCCGACATCTCTCTGGAATGTGTATCGGGCTTATGTACCCGAACTGAGGTCGTATTAGAAGGACAAATCCAGCTAGTAGTTCGGAGATGAACCCTTCTATATGAGCTGATGATGCAGGGGGATCCGAGACAGATGATGCTGAGCTGTCAGATTGCACGTTGATGGCGCTGAGATACCATGAGTTGGCAGATCAGCGCAAAGGCGGGAATTGATTGTGACATGTTCCTTATTGGGGTCGTTTTGAGTATGTTTCAGTCTTTTGGCCATAACTTTGGCTACAGGTTCAACTTCAGACAACGCAAGTTCAACTTCACGACGAAGGGATCGCTGCCTGTCAACAACTTCTCAATTTCAGAACCAATTTCAACTTCACAATGAAGGATATTGGACTTCAGACAACACAAGTTCAACTTCACGACGAAGGGACCGCTGCTTGTCAACAACAACTTCTCAATTTCAGAGCCAATTTCAACTTCACAACGAAGGATATTGGACTTCAGACAACGCAAGTTCAACTTCACGACAAAGGGACCGCTGCTTGTCAACAACAACTTCCCAATCGCAGAGCCAATTTCAACTTCACAACGAAGGATATTGGACTCCAGACAATGCAAGTTCAACTTCACGACGAAGGGATCGATGCTTGTCAACAACAACTTCCCAATCTCAGAGCCAATTTCAACTTCACAACGAAGGATATTGGACTCCAGACAACGCAAGTTCAACTTCACGACGAAGGGACCGCTGCTTGTCAACAAAATTTCATTCAGATTCAATTTCAACTTCACGATGGAGGATATTGGACTCTGAACAATGCTACTTACTTGGATTTGAACTTCACGACGAAGGATATCCAATTTCAGGCTCAACTTCACGACGAAGGGAATCTTGCACACAAGCATCATCCATCTTTAGATTGGATTTCAACTTCATGGCGAAGGATATCCAACTCAAAAAGGGAGTATATGTCAACAAAGACCTTCGAGTTCGACTACGCTCAGCTCTAAGGCACATCATTTACAGCATAACTCAATGCTAGAAGGGTTATCTGCCATCAAAATTGTTGAGTTCGATTCCATTTAGCTCGATGACACATCAATCGCACTACTTTCTGGTTGCAGTCGATGTTTTCAAGTCGAGAAGAGGACCTGGGTTAACCGTGACTTAGTGACAAGCAACCATTTTCAAACAAAAGCTATATGTCAATGAAGATTTCTGAGTTCGATTCCGATCCAAGGTCTTTAAACCGAGAAGAAGACCGAAGGGCAACGAGAAGCCACGTTATGATTCAAATTCCGAACTACGCCTTTAATTTCATATCATTCCAAGATGAACTAGACTTCACGACGGAGGAGTCATCCGTAACTCAATTCGACAGGGAGTTATTGAAACATCAGAGTCAATTTTCAACTCCACCGAACGAAAAGTGTGTCTTTTAATCTTTGCCCTATCCCCGTTACACGACTATGGGCAAAGAGGGGCAGCTGTCAACACACCTTTTCGTCCTACTAGAATTCAAACTCCTAAAGATAGGATAGAATTTTGCTAGGATTCAAAAAATAGGATAGAGTTCTACTATGATTTAAACTCCTAAAGATAGGATCCACAAGCACTATAAATAGCCATTGTAACTCACTATTGTAGGAAACGATTTACACACAAAACACATAGGAAAGCACGGAAAATACAAAGGCAAAGTTGTTGTAAACGATTCGAAAAGGAAATAAAAGGTAGCATCTTTTTTTACATTGGTTCGTTCATTTCTCGCATGTGCACGATATTGTTCTTGTGATTTGGTTCGAATAACCCAAAACGTGGGTTGTGCCGATGACCAAAATGGGTGGGGTTTCGAAGTTTCGAACCTAGATCTACCCCGAGGCTTATTTTTTAAAAATCGGTTTGATTTTCGGTTAAAGGAGGGGAAGAGCTTTTTTAAAAATCTATATTAGTCCCTTTATTTATTATATGGATATTTTATTCATTTATTTTTATTATTCATGTTATTATTATTATATGTATATATATATATATATTAAATTATTTTCATTTATTTTTTTACTATATTTTATTATTATTATATATATATATTTCTTTAATATTTTACTTATAAGTCTAATATTACTATATATATATTGTAATTATCTTTATTTAGTCATATATATCTTTTATACTTTTAATAGTTATCTATATACCTATTATTAAATATATATATTCTTAATTATTTTTATTTGATTATTTCTTTATTTATGTAATATCTTATAACTTTATATATTTATATTATTTTTTATTATTTTCGTTTTTTTATTCATTATTATTATACATTTAGTTTTTTAAAAAAAACCTTATGTCCTTATCATTATTATTATTAAACATTATATTATATATTACTAACCTAGAGGACCCATTTTTTTGTCTTATTTCTTACTAAAGCCCCCCACTTTCGGTGAATTGGGAGGGTATCTTTTTTATTTTTAAGTATTTGGTGTATATATATAGCTTATTTATTTTATTAATACTTTGATATATATATATATATATATATATATATTTATATTTTTCCTTTTTTCAAATATTACTATATATAATTATTACTTTACTATTTTTTTTCTTATCTTACTTATTTATTTTATTTTTCCCTTGTATCTTATTTGTTTTCTTTACCTTGTTTATCTAACACATTTCTCGATTTTTTTTAAAGGATATTTTCAAATCAATCAAGGGTAAGTAATTAGGATCGAAACTTTACATTTTAATTTAACTTGTTATTTTTCTTAATTAAGACAACTGGAAATTACGTAGTACCGAAAGTGCGGTTCAAGGGTGCTAATCCTTCCTTGACTGTAACCGACTCCCGAGCCCGACATATTTCTGGTAAGACGCAGATCAGGTAAGAAATAGGGTATCCGATCAACCCATTTATTTTTAAATAAATGATCGGTGGCGACTCCAATCCACATTTTTCTAAGTCGAAGCCTAATTCCGGGGCCCAACCGAAAGGTGGTTGCGACACAACTTGAAAATGAATTCAAAATCATGCTCAAGCCATCGATATTAAAGAATATTCTCATCAAGTCATGGCGATTAGGCAGAAGAGATCTTCTCATGTCTCCCCTTTTCATATATCGATTATAGCTATAATGTCGATCACCTTCTTTCTTAACAACAATCGTTACAAGTTTTGTTTATTTTGCCCTATCTTAAGAAAACATATGCGTCTTCACCATCACTGTTACTTGAATAAGGCCCTTAAGCTTTCATCTATTTGATGGTGTCCCACTTGAATCACTCTCGTTGCATCTTCTGGGTTCAAACTCTGTCGAATGTCGATGTTGCTACCTTTGGTGTCCAGACATAGTAAGTCCATGATGTTACACTGTCGATGCCATCAGCTTCTGAGGATGAACGCGAAGTTGGTTTTCTTTCTTCGCTTATGAGTTCTCTCTATGATAAATGGTGGGATTGTGGTTTAAAACTGGGTTTTTTTACCCAAAAATCACCTAAAAATAAAATATTCTCTATTAGTCTTCTTTTTCTAAATATTTTTCAATCTAACATATTTTTAGAGGAGAGAGAAGGGGCGCTAGTGGTGAAAAGTGCCTTAAGAAGAAAGATAATATAATTGCTAGATTCCCCTTGAAGGCGCATCCCTTATAGAGAATTTTACCTGGTTTGGAAGACGCATCTCCTGAGATGTGCCTTCCTTGTTTTTTATTATTTAATTAATTAATATTTTATTCAATATTTTATTATTTTTTGTTTAATATATAAAGACAATTAAATAAAAAAATTAAAATTAAAAAACGTGTGTACCTCTAGGAATGGCATGGGACCCGAATCTGATGGGTTCCGACCCGACTCGACCCAACCGGGTTGGATTTAAAAAAACAATTGGGTTTTTATCTCAAAAAAACAGGTCGGGTTTGGTTTGGGTAGAGGGTTTATATTTTTTTCAAGTCGTCCTTTTCTAAATATTTTCTGATTTAACACTTTTTTTTTATTATTTTATTAATTAATTTTTTATTATTTTTGTTTAATTATATAAAAACAATTAAATAAAAAATTAAAATTTAAAAACGTGTGTACCTCTAAGGATGGCATGAGACACGAATCTGACAGATTCTTACCCGATTCGACCCAATTGGGTTGGATTTTTTATAAAAAATTCAGGTTTTCTAAAGGCGATGTTTGGGTCGGTCGTGTTCGGGTTTAGGATGAAAAATACATGATCCGACCTGACCCGAAAATAATATAATTTTACCTGATATATTTAAGAGTAATTACAATAATACTCCTCTAAATATTATTTTTTCAATTAAATCCCTATTTTTATTTAAAAATAATATTTTTGTTATTTCAAGTCGGATCGGGTTTAGATTTTATCTCAAAAAGTTAGATTAATTTGGTTCGGGGAGGGTTTAGGGTTTTCTGCAAATAATTGGGACTCCCTACTTCAATGTAATCAAACGCAATTATTGAAGCTTCAAGGAAAGTGCGAGAGCAAGTGTTTATCCGTTTCTACTGAGTGGATCACGTTTTGTTTAGAAAAGTGCCAATCAACTATGCTTTACGACATCTCGAAAAAGAAAAGTGCCAAGACTTTATTTTTTTCTTAGTCGTCTTTGCTATCATGCCAAGAGAAACTCATGGGCCCATGCACAGACCAATCACTACCTAAAGATTTCTAAAGGAAAATTCCTCTTTTTTTACCAATCCACTACTAGAGCACAATTACAAATTCTCATTATTCTTATTCCATATTTGCTTTTAGTGGAAGGGTTTTCTCTGCATTTTGCAGTAATTTCATAGCACAAATCCTTTGCCTTCTCAGTACTCATCTTCCAAACCAAAACCAAAAGCGCATCCTTTATTTTGAAGCAATTTCTCTGTGAAGCTTTGATTTCTTCTTTCTTGTGTTTGTTTCCCCTCACCAGGAAGTCTAGTTTGATTTTGAAAGCCTCAAGTATTACCAGAATCATGGGCAATTGCTTCTCAGTACAATGTAGTTTCGAAAATATCCTCATTCGTGGTTGGGATTGCATTGTTGGACGGGCTAATTACGTGTGCAAGCTTAAAGAAACTCATCCGGCTTTGGCTGCTGCTCTTGCAGAGCTGAGGGCAAAAAAGAATGATATACAACGGAAGGTTGATCTGGCCGAGCAGCAACAACTGAAGCGACTCGATCAAGTTCACCTATGGCTTTCGAACGCAGAAACTGTGATAACAGAGGCGGAAAATCTGATTGCAGATGGCCCTCAACAAATAAATAACTTGTGTCTCGGTGGTTGCCTCTCCAAGAATTGCCAGTCTACCTACAAGTTTGGGAAAAAGGTGGCCAAAATGCTTCAAGACATAAGGGATCACATGAGTAAAGGAGTTTTTGAGGAGGTAGCACAGCCCGCTCTTTCAGTTGTAGTACGACCTGAGGAGCGGTCAATTGCTCTTGAATCCACATTTGACAAGGTATGGAGCTGCATCCTGGACAAAGATGTGGGGATCATTGGCCTCTACGGCATAGGAGGCGTTGGAAAGACAACACTCTTGACCCAAATCAACAACAAGTTCAGCACAACACCTAATGATTTTGATGTCGTAATTTGGGCGTTGGTGTCTAAAGATAGCAATGTTGAAAAGATTCAAGATGAGATTGGTGCAAACATTGGTTTTTCCAACGAGTCCTGGAAGAATAAAAGGGTTGATCAGAAAGCCGTAGAAATCAACGGGGTCTTGCGCAACAAGAGATTTGTTGTGTTACTGGATGATTTATGGAAGAGGGTAGACTTGAACAAAGTTGGGATTCCAGAACCAAGCCAAGAAAACGGTTCTAAACTTATCTTCACTACTCGATCTTTGGAGGTTTGTGGTGAAATGGAAGCTCGAAATAAAATTAAAGTGGAGTGTCTGAAACTGGAAGAGGCTTGGAAATTATTCCAAGAAAAGGTTGGGGATGAAACTCTCCACAGCCATCCAGATATTCCAAAATTAGCTAAACAAGTAGCCGAAGAGTGTTGTGGGTTGCCTCTTGCACTGGTTACGATCGGTCGTGCCATGGCTTGCAAGACGACACCTGGGGACTGGAATTATGCAATCCAGAAGTTAAAGCAATCCACCTTACCCAAAATGGAAAATGAGGTATATCCGCTTTTGAAATTCAGTTACGATAATTTGCCTCCCATAATGAAATGGTGTCTCCTATACTGTTGTCTGTATCCTGAAGATTATAATATTCCCAAAAGTAGATTAGTGGAGTATTGGTTTTGTGAAGGGTTGTTGAATGAATTTGATAGAATTAGTGAAGCTCAAATGCAAGGAGACCACATTATCAACTCTCTTATCTATGCATGTTTATTGGAAAGAGCACAAGAATCATTTGATGGGGAAGAGTATGTGAAGATGCATGATGTGATCCGAGACATGTGTTTGTGGATAACAGGCGAGCTTGAAGAGAAAGAGCAGAGTTTTTTTGTAAAATCAGGGGCTCAATTACTAGAGGAGCCAGATGTTAAGGCATGGGAAGCTGCAAAAAAGAATGTCGATGATGCATAATAAGATTAAAGTTCTGAGAGGAACCCCTAAATGCCCTAGCCTTCAAACTTTGTTTCTTAGCCAAAATAAGCTGCAGGTGATCAATGATGACTTCTTTCAGTTTATGCCTCATCTAACTATTTTGGATTTGTCGAGGAACAGAGATTTAAAAGCACTACCAAAGGGAATTTCACAATTGATTTCTCTGGAATGTATTGATCTATCCGAAACTTGTATAACAGAGTTGCCAAAGGAAATGACATTCTTAACCAAACTGAAAATGTTGGACTTGACTTACATGGAGCATCTTAGAAGAATCCCACAGAATTTGATATCTAGTTTTTCCAAGTTGCAAATATTCAGGTTGGGGGTTGACTGGGGAGATTTCCCGAAGGAAGACAATGTTCTGGATTGGGATAATGATAATGAAAAGCTTATAGAGGAATTGAAAAGTCTGCAACATCTGAATATACTAAGAATACCACCAATAAAAAGCATGTCTGCTCTACAAAGTTTTCTAAGCCACCACTTGTTTCGATGCAGCACCGAAGAACTAGATTTGGTGTTTTTTCGGAAGAAAAAATGTGTTTAATGTTTTATGTTTAGAAAACATGGAGCGTCTGGAGAGGTTAAATATCTATGGCTGTCAAAACAAGGAGGGGATGAAAATGGAAAAACTGCATACCAGGGGTTCTCCGAGTACTAATTACACTTCAGGCTTCCACACATTGAGGAATGTTGTAATATCACATTGTGGAAAATTGAAGGATGTTACCTGGTTGTTTCTTGCTCCAAATCTCAGGTATCTCGAGATATGGCAGAGTTCAGAGATGGAAGAAATACTGAGCGAGGGAAGACTCGGAGATGTTGCAGATGTGGTGGGAATTCCATACCCTATACCATTTCTGAACCTTCAAATACTTCGTCTATGTGATCTACCGGAATTGAAGAGCATATACTGGGATGCCCTGCCCTTCCTATGTCTGAAACGTATTTATATAAGCAATTGTCCTAAACTGAAGAAGCTTCCTCTCAACTCTGACAGTGCAAAAGGGAATCACATCACCATTAAGGGAGAAAAAGACTGGTGGGAACAGCTAGAATGGGAGAATGAAGCCACTCGAAATGCTTTTATGCCATCTTTTCAAGACTTTTGACGGAAGAAATCAATTGTGAACCTCATCGAATGGATCGATCCTTAAAAGAACTTTAAATTCTTTTTATATTTTATATATTAATTTTATATTTGTATCTTTAAAATTTTATAATATCTTACCTCTGAATTTTTAATATACTTTCTAAAAATAACATCCAACGTCAGTTTCATAATTTACTCATGCTCACACTGTTCTTAACGGTCAGGAAAAATGGTCTTACCTTGTACCATGGTCAAGCCTACAAGCAAAGTTTTAGTATTCCACACGAGAAGTCAATTGAAACGAAATCATCTCCTACAAGTAACGTCTGCATCCAACACATCTCATGGCATGAAATTTTAAAAAAATATATATAATTATGTTTAATTATGCTACTTCTCTTTGGAATTCTATAATGAATCTTTCTAGCATGAGAGATACACACAGGTCATGGGAATCAAGGATTGAATGGGCTACTCAAACTTGGAAGGGTAAATCTCTCCTTTCCACCATGTTGAGGATCGCATGGACTGCTTTTATATACTTCATTTGGGAGGAAAGAAACAGAAAACTTTTCAACAGAGGATCAAGAACTGCAGATCAACTTCTCACGTCTAAAAATGAGCAAGTTCGAATCAAACTCAGTGACAAGAATACTAACAGACTAGATTATGTTAATTCTAGACTTTGTAATTATTGGGGTATAGACTAAGCTTTTTGTTTGTAAATATGTGTTTATACTCCTAATTGGGATGTCTGTTGCACTATGAACCATTCTTCTTGGGTAATAAAATCTATTTATCCAAAAAAAAAAAATTTGTGAAGATGCACGATGTCATCCGTGACATGTGTTTGTGGATAGCATGCGAGCTTGAAGAGAATGAAGAATATCTTGATGATGACTTCGGCGGTAGGTTATTTTATGGCGTGTTTTAACTTAGAATATTATATGTTCTACTCTAAAACTTTACATCATTGGTAATAATTTCGGTTACAAACAAAAATATATTAATTATAAATTTTTAGGGTACAATTGAAATAGTTATGAATTTACATAGTTTATTAAAAAAAAATTAATATTTTCGAATTCAACCTAAACTATTATCCAAAGTATTATAAAAAGTTACGCGTTATAAAATTTTCAGTTAAACCTATGTATGTTGTATTTTATACTCATCCTAAGATATAACCTAAAGACTTTTTTTTAATGTCTTTGCATAGTAATCTATATAATCTTTATTAAACAATGCATATAATATATAAATTCATCAACAAACTCAATATTAGCTACATTCATTTAACTCGAACTTATAATTTTCTTCAAATTTTAGAGGATTCCACCAAATCTTGTTCTAACTTGAAGCTTAACTTGAATAGCAAAGCTTCGGCTTTCAGAATCTGTTCAAAATTTTAGAGTTTTTTTATCAACAATGGCCATAACAGCTCTTGTAAATGTAGCGGAGAAGTCTTTCAAATAATTGGATTTGAAACGCGGCTTCAAACAAATCAAAACCCTCAACGCAACTTCAAGGGAAGTGCTAGAGCGGTTTACTGTTTTCTTCTCAATCAAACAGCTCCTGTTTGTATTGGTTCTCATCAGGTCTGCATGATTTTTCTAAGTCGTCTCCATGTCCTGTCATGGGGCCATGCACAGACTAACTAGTTGCGTAGGAAGATTCCTCTTTTCTCACCAATCCACTGTAGCACAATTGAAAAAGGGCAAAAAGAGAACAAAAATATGTACTTTGGATCCCTTAATTATTTTGTTGAAGGGTTTTCTCTGCAGTCTGCAGTAATCTCATACCAAAAATCCTTTCCCTGCTCAGTACTTTCCTTCCAAAACGAAACCAAAAACGCATCCTTTATTTTGCACCAATTCCTTTGTGCAACTTTGATTTCTTCTATATTGTTTTCAGTTTCATTTGCTTTCTTCCACTCACCAAAAATTCCATATCCTCTCCCCAAGTATTTACCAGAATCATTTGATGGAATGGAATATGTGAAGATGCATGATGTGATCCGTCATCCGTGACAAAGGTGTTAAATTAGGAAATATTTGAAAAATGATAATTGATCGAGAATATTTTATTTTTAGGATGATTTTTAGGTAAAAGAACCTTCAAATTGAATACATTAACATTAGGAGTTGATCAATATCGTTGATTAAGCTCGTTTCGAAAAATGGATAAGTTGACTTGATTTGATCATCGTAAAAGATCTAATCCGCTGACAGAGGATACGTCGTTGGGTTTCTAGAACTGTTTTTATGGGTTTTGTTGCAGACAAAGTAAAAGATGTTCCAATGGGTTTGGAGGTTGAAGAAGAAGTAATATAGAAAAGTAATTCTTTTTGGAAGATTATATAAATTTTGCTATAAAATAAAAACGACACGTGAAAAAAAAATTATTGGAGGGACACAAAAGAGACACACAAAAGGGTAGATGATTTTTGTTCCTATTTGCAGGTTCAACAGAAAAATGGCAGTGAAACCAACGGTGGTCATGACGGCATTTCTTGTAGGAGGGGAAAGCTCGGTGCGGGGCTACGGCTGCGATGTCTGGATCGAAACAGGACCAAGCAGTGAAACTACATTCAAAGTGATTTTCTGCAAATAATTGGGACTCCCTGCTTCAATGTAATCAAACGCAATTATTGAAGCTTCAAGGACAGTGTGAGAGCAAATGTTTATCCGTTTTTACTGAGTGAATCCCTTTTGTTTTGAAAAGTGCCAATTAACTCTCCTTTTCGACATTTCGAAAAAGTGAAGTGCGAAGACTTTACTTTCTCTTAGTTGTCTTTGCTATCATGTCATGTCGGTAAAAGAAATACATGGGCCATGCACAGGCCAATCACTACCGAACGAGTTGCAATTTTTAAAGAAAGATTCCTTTTTTCTTACCAATCCACTACTAAAGAACAATCGAGAAAAGACAAATACCCATTGTTCTTATTCCATGTTTGTTGTTAGTTGAAGGGGTTTCTCTGCATTTTGCAGTAATTTCATAGCACAAATCCTTTGCCTACTCAGTACTCATCTTCCAAACCAAAAGCGCATCCTTTATTTTGGAGCAATTTCTTTGTGAAGCTTTGATTTCTTCTCAATCATCAAATTCCAGATCCTCTCTCCAGGAAGTCCAGTTTGATTTTGAAAGCCCCAAGTATTATCAGAATCATGGGCAATTGCTTCTCTGTACAATGTAGTTTCGAAAATATCCTCATTCGTGGTTGGGATTGCATTGTTGAACGGGCTAATTACGTGTGCAAGCTTAAACAAACTCTTCCGGCAGATCAAAAAATTTACCCGATAATCACAAGAACTAAAGAGAAAATAACACATATTGGTACAATCTGCGCTTTGGGACTTTATGTTTTATCCGATATCCCTCTGGAATGTGTCTCGGGCTTATGTACCCGAACTGGTAGTCCGGAGATGAACCCTCCTATATGAGCTGAGTTATCGACTTGAGGTAGAAATCTGACGGCTAGGTTCGAGCAAGTACGGCTATGGCTTTCAAAAGCGGAAACTATGATAACAGAGGCAGAAAATTTGATTGCAGATGCCCCTCGACAAATAAATAACTTGTGTCTCGGATGCTGTGTTTCAAAAGAATTGCCTTTCTACCTACGAGTTTGGGAAAAAGGTGGCCAAAATGAATCAAGACATAAAGGATCACATGAGTAAAGGAGTTTTCGAGAAGGTAGCGGAGACTCAGCCTGCAGCTTCAGTAGTATTATGACCTGACGAGCAGACTGTTGCTCTTGAATCCACACTCGACAAGGTATGGAGCTGCATCATGAACGAAGATGTGGGGATCATTGGCCTATACGGCATCGGAGGGGTTGGAAAGACAACACTCTTGACCAAAATCACCAACAAGTTCAGCACCACACCACAGGGTTTCGACATTGGAATTTAGGCTCTGGTGTCTAAAGATTATAATGTTGAAAGGATTCAAGATAAGATTGG